CCGAATTTTTCTTTGATTTATCTTCTTCAAATTTTAAATTATTGTTTTTGTTCTAATATGTTAAAATATATGAACGACGTTTATTTTACCTATCTTAAAAGATCTTGTGAGGTAGCATGTGTAGAAATTATATTACAAAATCAATATGACATGATCATTAAATTTACTATTTTTGTTTAAATATAAAAAATTACTTAGAGTTGTATATTAGAAGTGGTAACTTTTAATTTTAAATGAACCATGTTTTTTTTCACATAGGATAAAGCAAAAATTTACTCATTTTATAGTAAATGTAAGTCTCTCTCTCTCTCTCTCTCTCTCTCTCTCTATATATATATATATATATATATATATATATATTCCATTAACTATCTTAAATTTGAATATTTTTGATATTATTTACTTGTTATTTTCAAGGTTTCAGATGATATTAGTTATTCTTTTTATTTTTATCTGTACCTTTATTCCTCGCCTATTTTTCTTTATTAACTTGTGGTTATGCATTTATATGGATGTAAAAGTGAAAATAGAAAAACAATTTTTTGATGAATATTTAATTTAAATTAATAAAATTTATTATATATTTTATTTTGTTAAAAAATTGTTAAACTGCACTTGAGAATAAACCGAGAGATTATATAACTAGTTATGTTAGTCGTGAAATGAATGCACGAATGCAATTTTAATAATCAAAATTAAAACGGCATTAGTAATTATATGAATGTTATGCATATTATATATGTATTATATTTATAAATGATTTCCCCCCTTCTCTCTCTGTATGTTTTTATTTATTAATAAGTAAAACTCACCTCGTTACTTATAAGAAGAGATAATTTTATTTTATTTTATGTATACTTGTGTTAAAAAATATTTTATGTGTATATTTTCATTAAGGTGTAAAAAAAATAATAAAGTATTTACTTATCTAAGATATATTAATTTTATGCGAAAATAATTCTCACAAAAATTGAATTGAGCTTTACTTTGATGTAATTAAATCTAAATTACTTGTTAAGATGAAAATTAAAATTTGGTTAAATACTTAGAATGATAATATGACAAAAAATCTGGTACTAAAATTATTAGAGTAACTATTTATAAATTCAAATAATTACAATAGAGTATAATTTCTTCTAAGTAGTTAAACTTTTAACGAGTTTCTTGTAATTTATCGATTAGGAAATAAGAAACATAATTTTTTATTATACAGAAAAGTTTTGTAAAAAGGTTCATCCCATATGTTAAGAATAGATTTCCAATTTGCTTCATAAAACAATTTTCAACCACATTAATTGATGCCCTTGTTTTATTTGAAAAATATTATTTTTTGTTATGTAATCAAATATATAATAATTAGGCAAAAATAAATAAATTTTTACCGGACAAAAAATAGTAGCTGAATGGAAAAAAAATGGAAAAAAAAATTATATTTTTCCCATCCAACAAATTTTTAAGTATTGCAATTCTTTCATGCGTCAAATAGCTAAAAATTCAAACAGGTCATAAAAAAAAGTTCAGGTTTCGTGTCAGTGCTTGTGCAGAGTCCAAATATTGTGCACAGGCTCAAGATGCTGATCTGCTCTCATTGGGCCACTATAAAGAAGATTAAAATATTATTCTGGTACCATAAATAGTTAGAATATAATTTTTTTTCTTTTAAAAAATATTTGTAAAAACTTTTTTGGTATTAATATATTTAAGAACTTGATAATTTTGCGTTACTTCCCTCCTATTACATATATCTATTGATAAATTGATTTGACAAGGTTGAACTGAATAAGTACTAGAGATTTTTACAGTATCATTAAAATTTGGGTGTAAAATCAAAAGTTCACTTAAAATAATTATTTTGTCGCTTATTTTTCAGTTATCATATTTTTGTTCAGATAATAAGTTGTCCAATCGAATGAATGTAATTGTTAAAAATATGTTTAAGTTAATTAGATTTTGATAAATCAAACATAAAAAAGTCTTAACAAAAATGCTTTTAACATGTATTTATAAATCTTTCTATAACCTTTTGATTATGATTAGCTTAATCATGATTCAATGACAAAAATATACTTTAAAAGTTTATTAACAAGATATAGTTATGATGCTTCTTATACATATAATCAATAATTAAATAATTTTTTATTTGTTATGAACTAAGTTCGACAAGTTTACCTTTCTTAAAGACCAAAATAATATTCACCCTTCTCTGTGTCTAAAAGGATAATGGTTGAAAATAGTTAGAGACTGTTTTTATACCATAGGATAAAATCGAGGTAAGTAAAAGTTGTTCCTTTAATATTGTGATATTCTTTTTTAATTCATATAAAGAAGTACAAACATAAAAAAAGGTTTAAATATATTCCCAGAATCATAGAGGGTGAAAGTATTAATGTCAGGACTGACAGGGCATGCGGTCAAAGAAGGAACACATGGTTCAGGGTTGTAAGATGTCATCTTTTCATCTAAAAAATTAGAAAAGAAAAAAATAGAAAAAAGAAAATGACTGGAAGATTAAAACTTTTGAAATCAGTCCAATCACACGGATAAATAAGATAAAATCAAATGAGAACAACATTTTTTCTCCAAACTGAATTTAATATAGTAAAGGAGAACAACTTTGACATTTCAACAACATTATATATTTTCCTTATATCTTTAACCATGTTACGGTTGAAAAAAAAAATACATTCTCTCTAATTTTGTCTAAAATAGGGATATAAAGACGTGTCCATACTCAAATTTCTCTCTTACCAAATTGCTTGAACAAGTAACCGTTTCCTTAGACCTAGTTCGTTTATGTAGAAAGTAGTGTTCACATGTATTGGTAAAGATTAAATTACGAGGTAAATTATGTTTGTTTTGTATGATTTAAAAGTCAGGCAAAGCGACAGTTTCAGAAATTATTCAAAGTTTCAATTTTTGCAGTTTACTCGGCTTTGAAGTGATTTAAGAAGAAATGTCGAATAAACTTTCGTACAATTATCATTTTTACCTAATATAAAAGTGGAAATAATAGATTACGGCAAGACAGAATATTCCAACATTCACATTAAAGCCTTATAATCGATTCTATCCAAAGGAGGAATCGATTTCAACTCATACCGCTTGGGATTTTGATTTGGATGTTCAAGGTGAAGAGATTGAAGATGAAGACGTTGAACATGGAAACTAAAAACGATCTGATTCTAGTGCAAGGTAACCGATTTTACTTGCAGTGTTGGAATTGATTTTAGAGCATATATCTTATTCCAGGCTACAACAATATACACCGTAATCAGTTCCACACAATAATTCAGGAGTAATTAATTCTAACTTCTTATATTTGATTTCAAGCTTCTTATATTCAGTTCCAAGAATAAATAGTGAGATTTTGAAATTTAGGAATCCTAAAATGAACATTTAAAAATTTGAAATAAGCAGCATTTTCAAAATCACATATTACATTACAAATTTCTGTGCCCTTTTCCTATTATTTTAATTCTTTTAACCAATACATTAATGAGTTTTAAATTTCTAAGTTAGCCGTAGTTTTCAAACAAAGTTAAAAGTTGAAAAAGAAAACAAGAATAGATATTTCATTTTTGTCTTGCATGTCTAAATTACCTTTCAAATTGGATAAAAAATATTTATACCTCTATCACATTACTCTCTCACTACAATGGATTAAATTGAAATTTAACTATACTACTTTTGTCAAACTTGTTAGAACTAAAATTCCAAATTGATAGATTTTCTGATACAAATTTATTTCATTTTTTAATTAATTTTATTTATTTTTTATCTAGTTTTAATATTTTTTAACAATAAATATATTATAATAAATATTATTTTACATTATTTTTACTACCAAAAATATTTTAATAATTTTAAATTTTTATTAATTAAAACTTTTTTCATCAATTATATTAATCAAATCCTATATAAACTTTTGTAAACTTTATTTTCAAATATACTTTCAATCATTTACTTTTAAATTCTTTAAACAAATTTACTCTAAAATCCCTAGTGTTTTTAACTTTTTAAAGAAACATGTGAACCTTTTCTAGCATTCACGACTTTAGATTCTGTTGTTAACAGCTAAAGTGGTGTCACTTTCAACACTTTTAAAAAAGTTTAAGAAATACAATTTGTTTTAATTTATTTTTAATATTCTAAAAACTAGAAGAAAACAATTTTAGTCTTCTAACTTTCAGAACATTAACGATAACAAAATTGAAATTTAAACGAGAATATGTTCATAGTATGTGTCAGAACAATGGAAAAGAGTGCTGTTTACCTTGACAAGTGTTGTCCTGTAATGGAATGCAAGCAGAGCAGTGAGGCACGATATCTGGCTTTGTCCCAACAAAGTTAACACAGCAAGTGCTGAATTTCGACTGAGATAGATTAGTGTAGAGCCTCATAGATCTTCCCCTGCATTTTGTTTATTTAATTTCCAGGAGACAATACTACCTTCTATAAAGCTTGCAGCTTTAGTTCTCCAATATTTTTACTTTTGTTGTTATGGTACTCCTAGTCATTGTTACATTGGTATGTCTTAGGCTGTTCTTCTTCGGTAGAGGTGTTTTAACCCCCAATATTAACATCATAAATTATTGAATTTCTGCACTAACCAAAATACTAAGAAGCATCACAATTAATTGCTCATCAAAAAAGAAGAAGAAAGGATTAAAGAATAATATAATCAAAGAAAGAGTAATATAAAAAAATGACATTAGTTACAACAAGTTGAGATTTTATTTTACTTATTACTTCCAACTTAAGAATTTAATGACCCGACCCGATAAAGAGTACCACTTCCTAAGCCAGGTCTCACCGCTTAGATCTAATATAAACAGTGAATTTTATTTATAATTTTTTTCACAATTCTATGATTTTTTCTTTACTCCAAATCCAATGGCAACCGTACGATCAAACTCGATCACGGTCTTCTTCGTCGTTTTCATTCTCTTCGCAACCGCACCATTTCCTTCTCAATCCATATCTTTCTCCTCTTACTTCCGTTACCGAGACCTCTTCTCCCTTTCGCATTCCCTTCTCATCGGCGTTGCCAACCTCCGGGCCTCGCGAGGCGACGTTGTTGGCGCCGACCGAGCTCGGGCCATCGCCAACAGCCTCGACCGTGGAACCGTCTTCGGCTTCGCCAAACTCCTCTGGACGTGGTCGTGGACGGACTTGTCCTTCACGGATATTTACGGCGTCGTTTCGGACATGAACGAGTTGCTGAGGGGCTTGACTGAGTTGACTCGTTTGGAATCGGTCGCGGAAAGGTCAGCTTGGATTTCGCGAAATTACCAGAGTGTCCTCACCGTCTCAAAGTCGCTTTCCAGCAAGCTCCTCAAAGCGTTTCGCCAGTCGGTACGTAAAACGCCTGTTTTTATATTTACATTTTTTAATAATTCTAAAAGTGAATTTGAAACAAAAATTAAATTATTTAAATAATACTTATATGACAATTGTTACTATAGGAATATTTCAATAGTTTCTAAAATCAACTTATTTTTTTAAACCTTTTACAAATTCAAAATGTATACAAATTTTCTTCTACAAAAACATGAGCATGTTTTTATTTGCTTCCTAAAGTCGTTAATGTATAAGTGACTTCTGACTTAATAAATTTTTCTTATGTCTTTAATGAAACTTCTTATAATATAATTATACATATCAATAAAAATTAACTTAGTTTGTTATATTTGACTTTTAAATATCAATATATCAAATTTACTGTAATTGTTAATAATTTTTAAAATTAACTTTTTATTATAAAAGACACATTTATAATATTTAATAAAAGTAAATAAAGAAATTAACGTTGTATACAAATTCTGGAATGTTTTATCAGAAAAAGACTATGAAGGAAATAGAACTATTGACACAATTAATTAATTTAATCAATTATTTATTTGACCTCTTTTAGTTCATATATGTAAAAAAAATGGCACGTTTTAATCCTCATGTATGTTTATTCTTGTTTTTATTTTAGTTTATATATGAAAAAAAAATGTATGTTTGTCTAGGTTTTGTTCCTTCTCGTTAGCATTAAAAAACAGTGTCTCACAGTATAAAATAGCTAAGTTTTTCTCTCCAACAATGAGAAATTGCTACCAACTAAACTTGTAACTTAAAATGAAGGATATTATAGGATCAGAACACAGAAAAGAAATTTAATGTTTTCAATTTTATAAGTAAACGTAGCTGTATGCTATTATACAACCTTGTTATATGTGGTTATTACGTTAGTGATGAATTTGAGCATGTTGAATGGCAGGGAGTGATGAGGGAAATGGGGGAGACGTTTCAGAAAGAGGTGGTGGAAGGAGGATTAATCAGGGATTGTCTTGAATTAAGTAACAATGATTTAAAGGCTTTGGTTCAGGTTGTCAAAGATTTGTTGTTGCAATTCTTTCCTGTTGGTGGTAAAGACTCTGATCTATAGTTGGGAATTTGGATCATCGAGAATTTTTAAGGATTATGTAACTGCTGAACTTATAAGTGACCAAAATTCAATTTCAATTTTTGCTTTCACTCTGTTTTTCTTAGGATATAAGATTTCAGCAGGAATTTACAGTTAAATTTACTGTTACAACGATGGAATGAGGACATTGTAAATATGAAGTGTTTCTATAAAGTTTGTTTTACAGAAGCTTGGTTATGGATTTTATTCAATCGAAACAAGTTTTAAAAAAAAATACCATAATTTCTCTTAAGGTAAAATTTTAGTAAGCTCACAGCAGAATCTGCAGCTTTGTTTTCATTTATCTGAACCCAAACGAATGACCTTTACGTTTAAATGTCACTCATTCCAGAATTTCCAAACTTCCAAGTTTGCATGCGAACAGAACAAGATAATTATCAAAATAAAATAAAGTATTCAGTGTGAAAATAAATATCATAATCGTCAAAATTTCTGGTTGAAGTAAATAAAATAAATTCCTACCTCATACTTCCTCCGAAGCAAAGAAAAATTTCTTATATTTGAGCCTAAAATTTTTGGAAGTGGAAGTGAAAGAAGAAACAGCCTTCTTTAGCATACATATACGGTATCTGAAGCCCGATCCGAAGACAGAGAGTCCACTTCATTGTCAACCCCCAACTACTAATACAACAATTTGTGGCAAATTCAGCAACACTAACATTAATCTTTGCTTTAACAATCAAAATGAAATACTTTTTTAAACTCAGATCTAAATAAAAGAAAATCCAATCACTGTTTTTTTATAAATATGATTGAAAACTGTTTTAAGAAATGCTGTTTTCAGGGAAGAAGATAACTGAATAAACTTAACAATATTTTTAATTAGCATGACAAAAATTAAGCTGCAAGTACATAGTTAATGCATTATTAAGTCATTTATAGGTTGGACTTTTTTTTTTCCCACTTGAATCAAGTGCACCATCTTGAATTTCTTCCACACTATGTGTCCTTGTATTTTTATGACTGATCACTTGTAGACATTTCTTAGTTTATTTTTAGAAGGAGTTATAAAGAATCTGGGATATATTGCAACATGATTAGGTACAATTGACAAATAAATTTGTGATTACTTGATCTTTGTGTACAAAAAGAAATATGTAGTCACAATGATCGAACGCTGACATGGTTTCAAGTGAATTAATATTTGGTTCGTAGTTACCACGTGCTTTTGTTAATTTTTGGATAAAATTTAAATGCATTTTCTTTTTATAAAACACAGGATATAATGACATAATTATATATTGAGAATTTATATGTAAATCCAATCTTGTGTTTAATTTGTTAAAAGAATAAGAGATGTTAAAAGGTGTAGAATCAATTTGTTACAACATAGTTGTGATAAAAGCTACTAATATTAGGTATAGGAAGGGGTTAACATAAATCACAGTCACTTAAAGAAACACATCATCATCATCATTCACAAACTGCAAAATGGTCAAATTGGGTACCTAATATAATAAATTAACTAAGTTGTCTACTAATGAAAAGAAGCTTCAAGCCTTGTGTCAAACTAAACAATTCTAGTTGACAATTAAGTGGTACCTCTACAATTGTTGCCCTTAGTTATACCTAGTTACTCTTTCTTCTCTCATTCTAAACATAGCTACATTAACACCATATACTTGTTATTTATTGGAAAGATACTTGTTAAAATTCTTAAATATTAAACGTGAATGTAATTGAGCTTACACTAGAACGAGTTAAACAACTCAACCATACGTACGTAATTAGAAATGTTCTAAGTAAACATTATTAGAATGATTGTATAAAATAATGTAAGTTTATTCATTTATTAATTCTGAAAATCCAAGTTTGTTAGTGAATGGCACAGCCAAAATAATTAAAGTTTAGTATAAAGTAGCATTTATGAAAAGATGGCTACTTCCACCAAGGCATGGACCGACCATCTCCAGGCATGAACTACTATATAATTAATTTTATTTACAAAACACTTTTACTTGTTAAAGAAACTAACTATAAAATATTTTTGTAATAATTTTGATAAATGTTTCTTTTTTCATTCAAAATACCACTCTTTTCATTTTACCTTAACTACTTCAAATGCAAGAAATACAGTGTCCAGCTATGTCTCTTTTGCTAATTAATGTTTTGTTGATAAATAACAGTCGAGAAAAGCAAATTTAAAGAACAAAGTAGAACTTTTTAATTATTGTAAAGTTATTTTAGACAGAATAAAAACATTAAATATTTTAAAACTATTATCGTTGAATACTTATTAACAAAATTGAATGATACAATTTATCTACGTTGAGAAAATAAATGATTTTTTAAGACTCTCATACTATAAGAAACAAATCTTAGTAACACATTTCTAAATCCTAGATAACATAATATTGACAAGGTATTTATTTCAATATCTTTAATACATTTTGATAAGGTTTTATTTTGTAACTAACTTGAGCACTAAAATATTTGCGTAAACACACCTTCTCTCGAACAACTTGAAAAAGACTATTATTCAAACAACAAGAAAAAAGAAAGAGGTCTCAAATTTTGTCAATGCATAAATTTGAAAACATAATTATATTGAGTTGAAGTATTCCGTTTTGGATTATTGAAAGTATTTTTTAATCAATAGATCTCCATATATACGGAGTAAAAATATTTAAAAGATCAGTAGGAAATTGAAAGAATGAAAAGATTCAGAATTAAAGAAAGAAAAATAGTTATTGTGAGTAAATAGAGGATAACGACATGGCGTGATGAAGTTGCCCTAAGTGCATAGGATTCATCTGATCTTGTCAACTTTTAGTTTCAAATTCCCTGTCGCTCCTGCTACCTCCAAACTTTAATTTCACATTCCAAAATTCAAACTTGTTTGGTACCCCACTTTCCACTTTCTGTAGAACACTAAACAGAGAACAAAAAAAAAGTAAACGCTGTCCCTTAAAACAACACATGCTTCTTAAAATATTTTTAGGATTTCTCCATTCCAATTTAACACAAAATTATTCTTTATCATCTTAAAGTATCTTTAAATATACAGTTTCATGTCTGGGGAATCTCCATATTCTTTTTACTTTAGTGTTGAATAGCATATAGACACAAAATTTAAAAGTAATTAATTACTAAGGTTAATATGTTTTTAGTTTCTAGATTAAAAATTTAAATTTATTTTGTCTAACTTTTAAAAAATAAATGAATATAATTCTTTTAACTTAATTGTGTAATATTTTGTGTGTTAAATGGTATTTCAGATTAACATTTAAGTTAAAATGAATTAAACAGTGTAAATACCTCAAACACTAATTTGAAACACCATTTAATACATAAAAAGATATTAATACAATTGGATTAGAAGTATTATATTCATTATATTTTTAAGTTTGAGAAGATGAATTTTAAGTATATTTAACACTTTTAATTATTTTAAAGTAGGTACAAGTAAAGTGGTACAAGGCTAATGTGACTTTAATACTGCTTATTGAATTTGACATAAGTAGGGATGAAGTTAATGGTGATAAAAAGAAATATAGGTAATTGGTTTTTTGCGTTGGTTGTACTATATATAGTTTGATGAGATTAGAAATGTGATGATAAAAATTGTTGTTGTTAATTTGGTAGGTTAGTTGAGTGGTGAAGGGAAAATGAATATAGTGGTGATGGTAATCGTGGGAGTGGGTTTGTGGAGTGTGAGAGGAGGTGCACAACAAGTTCCATGCTACTTTATTTTTGGGGACTCATTGGCAGATAGTGGGAACAACAACAACCTCTGGTCATATGCTAGGGCCGATTATCTGCCTTATGGGATTGACTTCAGTTTTGGCCCAACTGGAAGGTTTTCCAATGGCAAAACTCTTGTTGATATAATAGGTCAGTTTCTTAATTTATCCTCTCTTCCTAAAATATAATTACTTCTTTTATATTTTATTCATAAACTAGTATTTTATTTTACTTTTTATGAAAAACAAGTTCTTCATGAAATAATTTTAAAGTTTTGGGATATAAACTGGAAATTAATATATTGTTTCTGGAAGATTTAACTATCATTTTGGTCTTACTACTTTTATTTTCATTCAATTTAGCTCGCATGTTAATCAAAATTTAATCAAGATCCAAAACTTTTAAAAGTATAACAATATCGTCCCTCCTAATGTAAAAATCAACGCCGTTAGATATATAAATCTCCGTTATGCTCTGGCAATACACTTTTACGCAGAAATTAAACTTTTAATATTTATTTGTTAATCATATTATTATTAATTAGGAGGGAAGGGGCATTATGTAAAATTAAAAATGTTATTAAAAATTTAATTAAAAAAATACTAGTAATATATATTGATATATATATTACTAGTAAGATGGAGATGACATAAAAGATTTATTCAATTTGAATATGGGTATAAGAATGAGAATAATTTTTTTCTTTAATGATGAGAATGAGAAGATAAACACGTCCTTTACCGTTTCGTAGTCATTCATAGTTTAACTTGTATCTTCCTATACTAATTGCTCATGATAATTAAATTATTCAATTTTGATGAGAATTTGTTTTTATTAGGAGAATATTAGCATATTATATCTTGAATTTATTTTCAGAAAATAAAAATTATACAATTTAGTCAAAATATAATTTATCTATTTTTTTTTTATCTTTGTATCATTGAAGTTATTACTATACTTATATATGATTTGAACTTAAAGTATAATCAATTGCTTAAAGTTTTGAAAAAAGTGAGCATATTGCCCTTTGAGTCATTCCTCTTTGGGTGTCTGCCTAACCCTCCAATACCAACCAAGCACATGCTCTTTTGTTAGGCTGAAGAGAATGTGCAATTAAAGAGTCTAATTCTGGCATAGTTCTTAAGAGCTGATATATATGCATGTAAACATATGAAATGTTGTCTAACTTTCTCATGAATTCTGACAGCTGAAAGATTGGGGTTGAGCAGCTACATAGCTCCATTTTCAAGAGCCAATGATAGAAACATATTTTCTGGAGTCAATTATGCTTCTGCAGGTGCCGGAATTAGTGACGAAACTGGGCAGCACCTGGTAGTACTTATTTTGTTGTTCTTTTCTTCGTCAATTTGGTAGCCATATGGTGTTTATTTTTTGTATAGTTGTTGATTTGTGTTCAACTTTGTAGGGAGGCCGTACCAATTTTAGAGGGCAGGTGCAAAACCACATAAGGACAGTGTCCTATATGTTAAATTTACTGAGAGATGCCAACAGAACTGAGGTTTATCTGAAAAGGTGCATTTATTCAATTGGAATTGGCAGTGAAGATTACCTTAACAACTATTTTTTGACTCAACTCTATCGCACCAGCACTCTATACCCACCAGATCGATTTGCTGATCTTCTTATTCAACAATATGCTCAATTCCTCAGGGTTAGTACATTTTCATTAAGTCTGATAAAAATAAACAACAAAAATAAATGATTGTGGTACAAAGTTGTGAAGGTAAGAAGGAAGCTCAAAGTAGGTTCACAAATTAAAAGCTTGATTGTTGTGTTTTTGATTCAGGTTCTGTACAACTACGGGGCAAGGAAAATGTTGTTATTTGGGGTTTCTCCAATAGGTTGCAGCCCTTATGCATTGGCACAAAACAGCCCAGATGGTATAACATGTGTGGAAACATTGAATTCTCCAATTCAATTATTCAACAGCAGAGTGAGATCTATGGTTGATCAACTCAACACCCAGTTGCCGAATGCAAAATTCACCTATATAAACGTTTATGGTATCTTTCAAGACATAATACGTAACCCATCAAGCTTTGGTAATTATCTTCTGCCCAAAACATTTGGTATTTTTGTTGGGACTAAAATTTAGCAGAAGTGTTGTTGTTGAATTTTCAGGTTTCAGAGTGGTAAATGCTGGGTGCTGTAGGGTAGGAAGGAACAGTGGTAGAGTTACATGTCAGTCACTTCAACAACCATGCTCTAACAGGAACGAGGTGTTGTATTTTGATGCATACAATCCAAGTGAGGCTGCCAATACTATCATCGGTAGGAGAGCTTACAACGCTCAATCTTCATTAGATGCTTACCCTTCTGATATCAGTACCTTGGCTAGGTCCTAATCACCTTTTAGTTCTGCCAAAAATCTCTAGTAATTGCAATAACCTGTGTCCAAAACCATATTCTATTGCTTAATCAGAATCTTCTTTAACATTTAATTGAAAACTTTGTCGTCCTTTGGATTAAAAAGGACACAGTTAGAGATTTGCGGCTTTATATTACCAACTGTGATTTATCTTAGGCAATTTCAATGTGAAAATTATATTTCATAAGATTTGAAAAAAAGTTGTTTACTTGCTGGTTTAACAAATATAACTGTACTATCCTTTTTAAGAATTTTAATCAATCAACACAAAAAGTAAAATTATATGAACTATTGGATTCAAATTTCTTCAATTTTCTAATGAGTAAATTAATTTGGATGGAAAATATGGAGAATTAGACGGAACTGAATCAAATGATCCATTTTAACAATTTTACTTATATAACAATTTACTCTGATTTTATATTTAATAATTTTGTAAATTTTAATGCTAAAATTAATATATATTCTAAAAGTTAGTTTGGAAAAGACAATTATTTTTGGTTTACACTGAAACATTATTTATCCAATTTATAAAGTGTCCTGTTGTACATAATTTTTTTATTATGACATTTTTAACTTAGATAATTGACGTTCACCTCTTAAATAGCTTCAATTAAAATATTAATATTTAAAAATCTCATGTCACTTTTACTTTAGTTCTAAGAGTGTGAATGTATGGAGTGCTATATATAATGTTGGTTTAATGTTAAAACAGTGACTTCAAATTTAACTCATCTTAAGATGAGGAATACCTCTTATTTATATATTCCAATAATTGATAAGAGATCTAAAAATAATCAATATAAAAGAACTAATTGATTATTTTTTGTAGTTGTGGAATCTAAAAATCCAAGCAGAATGGATTGTTTGGGTGATAACCAAACAAGTGTATAACTTGTGTTTGAAATAATTTTTAGATCATTTTTTATCATTCAAAATAATGGATTAACTTTCTTATAATAATTAATTATATTAAAAAAATCAATTATATTTAATTACAATAAATCATTTATAAGTGTAAAGATTTTAAATGATTAAGAAAGAAAAAAGATAGCTTATAAGCATGATGAATAGTGCAATACATATTAACATGCATAAATTAAAATTAATAGGTCGTAAGAGAAATAAAAACATCACTAGAATTAATTTCATTTGTTTTTAGAAAAAGAAAAAAAAACCTTTTAATCTTTATATTTTTTGATAAACTTAAGGAGCAGCATTTACCTATTACTAGTTTGTGTTGGTCTTTAAAACAGTGATGGGCTTGTACTTTAACCCAGCATAACGCAGAAAGAAGGATACTCCCTACACCACCCCACTTTGCTTCCTGCACTACCACATTTTTTTTAAATTCCAAAACTATTCTTTATATTTTAAAATATCTATACTCTCACCTCTTTTCTCCAATGGATGTCAACATTCTATGAAGAAAAAATTCTTCAACGGATGTGCCACATCCGTTGCGTTTTTTTTTTAATTTTTAATTTTTTAATTTATTGTATTTTAAATTAATATATAAATATTGTTTAATTTTTTTAAAATTATTACTTAATTATTTATAAATTAATTTTATTTTATTTAATAAAATAATAATTATTAATTTAATTTATGTATTATTATTTAAATAATAATTAAAATATTTTTTATAAATATATTAAAACGGATGTGCATCCGTTAACGGACGTAGCGACATCCGTTAAATTTTTTTGTTTTTCTTAGTTTTTAGTTTTTTTATTTTTTTTATTTTAAATTAATATATAAATATTATTTAATTATTTTAAAATTATTACTTAATTATTTATAAATTAATTTTATTTTATTTAATAAAATAATTATTATTAATTTAATTTATGTATTATTATTTAAATAATAATTAAAATATTTTTTATAATATATTAAAACGGATGTGCCACATCCGACATCCATTGAATTTTTTTAGTTTTTATTTTTTTTATTTTTTATTTTAAATTAATATATAAATATTATTTAATTATTTTAAAAATATTACTGAATTATCTATAAATTAATTTTATTTTATTTAATAAAATAATAATAATTAATTTAATTTATATATTATTATTTAAATAATAAATAAATTACTTTTTAAAAATCTATTAAACGGATGTGGCACATCCGTTGAATTTTTTTTTTTAAATAAAAATAATAAACTAAAATATAAAATATGTAAACGGATGTCAACATCTATTGAAGGTGAAATAGATGTTGACATCCGTTTTATAGAAGGGCAAATTAGGTATGGAGTAGTGCAGGGAGCGGTTGGTGGTGGTGGAGGGAGCAACTCTACGTAGGAAACCACTAGTGCTTTTGGATCTTTCTCCAATCTCTCCATCAACAACTAAGTCTTTCTCTCTCCTTCATTGAGAGTTGCTTCCTCCACCACCTCAAGTGCTTCCTATATCTCCATACTATTTTTTTTTATTCCAAAATTGAGGTCTTTCATCTTCCTCTAACATCTTAACTTGTACTTCCAATTTTTTAAGAAAATTTTATTTTAACTTTAAAAATATTTTTTTTTTAATTTTTTTATGAAAATCACTCTACACCCCTTTAACATAAATTTGTATTAATTGATTTTTTTAAATTTCATTTTTAAATTTAAAATTTTATTATAATTTAATTTAATTTAATTTAAAATTTTAATATTATTTAATATACATTTATATGAAATATCGTACTAAAAAATAAAAAGTAAAAGTAATTAAAATAGAAGTAGTAATAATGAAAATAAAAAATAAAAAAATAAAATTGAAAAGATAATAATATAAAAAACTCTTGTAGAAAGTGCAAGGATTAGAGATTACATGAGTATAATCGTTCTGTTATTCTAGTTACAAAGTTAAAAAATACAACACTTTGTTGTTATTTTCTTTTACAAACTTGTGGTAAAATAATTTCATTTCTTTACTTTTATAAAAAGAATTTAAATCATTCTTATTTATGCACGATTCCTATTTTGAAATTTTTTATCTAATAAGGTTTTTTTTTTTGTTAATAATGCATTAACACAATTAAAAATGTATTACGTATCAATTCATAATTTTTTGTTTTTTTAAATATATTTTTTAATTTTTTATAAAAGAATATTTTGTATAACGTGACATCAATATTGTGATGAAGTAGCAACAATGCCATATATGTTACCATTATAATGATATCATTGTCTTAATCTAAATTTACTCCATATACTTTTATTTTTTCAATTAAGTTAATTAAATAATTTCGTTTATTTTCAAATTTAAAGTTTATATAAATATACGAATGTTTTGCAAATATTTTTATTAAATATTTTTAACAAAAAATAAATTTATTTATATTTATATTTTATATTGAATTTTATTTAAAATGATTTTAGAGTTACTAGTAGAAAGTAATATTGATAGAATAAAATCGAAATTAATTTCAGTTATCAAATATGTAATTGTATTCATAAAATAAAATAAATCTATCAACTTTTACAAAATTTTAAAACGTGTAAAATTTAATAATTTTTATACAAATGTTTGAGTCGGTTTAAAAATAACTTTTACAAATTCTAAACTTTTAAAATAGTTTTAAACAATTTTATAATTTAAAACAAATAAATTTAAAATTTGAAAATAATTTTAAATAAATTTTAATGTAAAATATAAATATAAATAAACTTAATATTAATTAAAATATTTAATAAAACATTTATTTTATTTATTTTAAAAATAATATTTGTATAAAATTTATAAAAAAATTAAATTAAATAAAGAGAGACATTTTGTTTCAGAAAAATTGGAACTCAATTAGGACAATAGAAACTAAATTAAGACAATATCTTGACAAGTGATAATTTTTTATTTTTAATTAAAAAAAATTAAAAAACAAAAAAAATCTTTAATTGATACATGACACCTCTTTAATAATATTGGTGTAATGTTAAGATAAAGAATCTGATTGCAATAAATTTTTTAAAGTAAAAACCGAATTAAAATACATAAAAATAAGAATTTAAAATTTGTCTACCACGAATAGAATTATTTAATCTAAAGTTAACGAACAATTTTTACCTACCATATATTACTACTTTGTTATTGGTACGATTTGCAAATAAATACAGTGAGTGTGTGACTTATGTATTAATATTTGAGTGAATTTTAATACTTTTGTGGACTTCAAAAAAATTTTAATTCTTTTTCATTTTTTTTATCTGATCCGATTTTTGATTTCATTTTACGTTATCTATTTGATTTGATTTTTAGATTTAAATTGTTTTTTTTTTCAATCCATGTCACTATGCCAAATCTCTGCTTATTTGTGATTTTGTGTAAAACAATAAAATTCAACTGAAAAAGGAGGCAGGAGGATGTTGAGAAATGATATGAATAAGAACTAGTGAAATAATTTGTCTAGCATTGTTATGTCCAAAACCAACAATCATATGACTCAAATAATAATCTCTCAATATCATTATCAATCATACCTTTATATGGTTAGACTTACACTTGTAAATTTGATTTCAATGATTAGCCGAAGAGAAGAAAAATAACATACGTGGATCCTATTAGCTGTAAAGTGCAGAGGATTCTTAGCTTAGTAAGACGCAGCAACATTTTGTGCTGACCAGCGGAGCATGGACTGCAGACACGGTTTTAATTGGTGCACAACCGACGCAAATGTCAACCACAACATGCTCCAAGTTGCATAGCTAAGTTGACCATTGAGTTTTAGACCTTAGTGACTGTTGAAAAATCCAAGCTTCTGTTACGTTAGTCCGTATGAAAGCAAAAAAATCATTGAATTCACACTATCTTCTAACATTTATGTTTGCTTCTCAACTTCCTAGCCTTATCCACCCACCATCTCAAACCCACATCAATACTCCTGCTTTTCATTCCCCAAACAACTAGTTATTAAAATCTTAAGTATTATGCTATTAAAATATATTTCCCTAAATTTTAGCATTTTTTATGGCCAATTAAAAACTGAAAAATCATAAATTAAATTTATAACAATCAATTTGCTGCCGGGTCGGTCCATAGTGAAAACAACCCATACATATTTTGGTTAGCTATGCTCTTAATAATAAACTGTCAAAATAATTTTTTATATTTTTCGTTCAACCTTGTTAGAACAAAAAGCATAAAAAATAAGTGAACTTTAATTTTCAATCCAATTAGACCATTTTATTTAAATTTAGATTTCGGTTGTTAGCTTGATATAGGGCAGGGATGCACTCTAAAAATCTCAATCAAAGTAAATCTAAGATAGCTTGATTTCACACTTGAGAGATTTCAGGATTTAGATAACGAAAGTAATTTATACGGACCACTTTTTTCGAATAATTTTATTGCTATAATTATTAGAAAATAAGCTCCAATCTCTTTTAAAGATCTTACTTTATTCTTTTATATTTAATTTTCCAAGACTTTTTATTACTTATTTGTTTCTTTAAGAAATGACTAAATCATCCTCAAACAATTTTCTCTCTCGTGTTTTTTTGTTCTTTTTATTCTCAATTAATTGATTTATAAAAGAGTTTTTTTAACATAATACACGTGAGAAGTGATAATTGATAAACCAGTTCAAGATCTTAACGTGACATACTATTCATCATTTATTATAGTCGCATCACTTGTTAAGGTTTGGTCATTTTGTATAAAGTAATTGAACATTTCGAAATTAAATTTTAATTGCTAAATACGTACTGAATAAATAACTACTGAAATGGATATAAAGTCCAGTTAAATGAAAAACATAAGATTTACAGGAAAAAACATTGTAATGAAACTGTTAGCGAGATGGGATAACTCATACAGTATAAAATTGTTGTATTATTTTCCATATTCGTACATTGTTTGCAGAATATTATTAATATTACACATAATCATCGTGACAGTTGAAATAAAGTTTTCAAAATTAAAATCGATTGAATCATGTTTGAGAGTAATTATGCTACAAGATAGAGTGAATGAGTTTATTATTATTATCTAAACTGGAGAAGAGTGAGTAATATATTTTTAATGATGGTGTGGATGAATATTTTGAAACGCGGAGTAGATTAGGTACATAGCCTGATGAAGGTGTCCGACATTGCATTCATTTCATTTTCTTCTCAACATTTATTTCCCTTTCCAAAATTCAAAATGGTTTGGTACTATCTGTTCTCCATTTTCTGCAAAATACTAACAGCTAGCAGAAGAGAAAGTAAAGTCACGAAGATGCCAGAGATATAAACTAATAATAATTCCTTAATTATTCTCAATGTTATTTCTATTTAATTACCTAGCTAGATCCACACAGTTTTATAAAAAGAAAAGAAAAGAAAGAAAATGATTGACGTTGATTTGAGATTCACCTTATCATATATCTTCTGTGAGCATTATATCGATGCAAACCGGCCAATAAACAAGATACAAGTTTATACCTTATATTGAATGCCCTTAATTAGGAAAGAGACTCGCATCATATAGAAGGCCTTCTCTTTCTCTCAATTTACTTTCATGTTATCCAATACAGTACCTACTATTTCATTCATAATTTCTATCATAAGAATACAAACAGTACTTTCATATACTTTGCCCAGCTTACATGAGATCTTAGATTTAAACCCGATTGTATGAAACAAATTTGGATTTTAATTTTTGCAAAAAAAAAAAAGGTTCTCTTGCAATACCTGAATTCACATAATCTCTACAAAAAAATGCAATTAATTGGACATTAAAGAGAAGAGAAAGAGATAATGACTGGGTACATGATAAAGGCGGGACTGTCGTCATTGAATTTCACACTATATCCGCGTGAATTTAATGCTCATAACAATAATATCCCAACTGTAAAAGACTACAAGGTTGGTCCTTTCTCTTCCATCTCCTACTATAAATAGTTTTGTTCATTACAAGTTCTTCATCCACTCATTAACCCAAAGCACATAGTTCGGAATTTGTAGCTTCATTTCTAGCGACAATGGCATCTGGGAAGTACATTATGAATATAGGGTTAGTGATAGTGGTTCTGGTTTTATGCAGTAATGGGTTTGGATTTGCACAACAAGTACCTTGCTACTTTATTTTTGGTGACTCTTTGGTGGATAATGGGAATAACAACCAGCTCAATTCATTGGCCAAAGCCAATTACCTTCCCTACGGGATTGACTTCTCTGGTGGTCCAACTGGAAGGTTTTCCAATGGCAAAACTACTGTTGATGTTGTCGGTGAGTTTCTTAATTTCTCAACTAATAATTTTTTTCAAGTTCAAACTTTTTTTAATCAGCTTATCAAACTTGCATGCTATTTTCGGCAGAATACGAGATACCCTTCCTATAATCTTCACTTCTCAGCCTTTATCCAACTTAAGATTTTACGTTTATTTACTGTTTTTCTGGCATGAAAGTAATGTTTCTCACAGTTTATATTGTTTTCCCGTTTTTCATCTGATCATTTAAGACAGGTATATATATGTAACCTCAATTCAACGTATAAATATGTTTGCTTTTGTAATCGACCATAGATTACCTTTAATGACCAATTAGGCGACAATTATACGATGCATTGATGCTAAATTTAGCCAGAAAAAAAAAAAATTCCCTGCACAGCATATTAATCTTAACTTCCAATTAAAGAACGCCTTAAAGACACATACCATCTTTGTCAAACATCAGATGAAAATACAGAACCAAATAAAAAAGTAGCACACAGAAATCATCAAACATAAACAAGAACTTGGTGAGTAAAATTTGTGGTATCTCTTACATTCCAAAACCCTTTTTAACTTTTGGTTTCGTTCAACGTTATTTATTTTCATTTTTCATTACAAGTTTAATTAATTATTCTTATGCCTAACAATTAAACTCCTTTATTACTAACGTTTTTCATTGATAATAAAATTAGAGTGAACACTAATTTTACATGGTCCAAGTTAAAGTTTATAAAATATTTTTTTTTATGAGCAACTAAAAATTTGACTTTGGTAAAGTTTTCCAAACTGTGCACATGTTACTACTGCTCTTTGACTTTAGTTATATGTCTACCCCTCAAATATCAAGCACATGGGCATGTTTGGCTGCATTGAATTTGCAATTTAAGACAGTCTGGTTCTGGTGTAGTCCTTGAATTAAGACCTAACTGGTGGTCGAGGAGGGAAGTAAAGAGGGAAAGAGCAGCAGCTAGAAAAATTAACCAGCAGTGCTGGTATAGTAGTAATACTAAAAAGAAAAAGATGGTGAGAGGAAAGTAGGAGCTGCTTATTCTGCACATGAACTAAATGGATTCTTTAATAGTTGCATATATGGTAAATCATATATGAAATTTTTACTCTTGTCTAACTTTCTCTTGAACTTTAACAGCTGAGCTTTTGGGGTTCAACGGTTACATAAGTCCCTTTGCAACAGCAAGGGGTAGAGACATACTTAGGGGAGTGAATTATGCTTCTGCAGCTGCCGGCATTAGAGAGGAAACTGGACAGCAATTGGTGCTTATTTATTTTGGAGCCTTTTGGCCCATAATTTTTTCTTCCATAAATTTGGCAACCATTTGGTTATTTTCTATGATTGTTCATACGTTTTCTACTTTACTTAAACTGTAGGGTGCTCGTATCAGTTTTAGGGGGCAGGTACAAAATTACCAAAGAACAGTGACCCAGATTGTAAATTTACTGGGAGATGAGAACACGGCTGCAAATTACCTTAGCCAGTGCATCTACTCAGTTGGATTGGGTAGCAATGATTACCTCAACAACTATTTCATGCCCTTAGTCTATTCCAGCAGTAGGCAGTTCACACCCCAGCAGTATGCTAATGTTCTTATTCAGGCATATGCTCAACAACTCACGGTTAGTATATGCTTCTTCTCATCAACATAAACTGTTTGAAGAAAATTCCGGAAGAATAAATGGAATAAGTTTAAAAACTGAGTTCTTTTGTGCTGGTGCTTGATTCAGGTTTTGTACAATAATGGCGCAAGGAAACTGGCGTTGTTTGGGGTTGGTCAAATAGGTTGCAGCCCTAATGCATTGGCCCAAAACAGCCCAGATGGTAGAACATGTGTGGCAAGAATCAATTCTGCAAACCAATTATTCAACAACGGATTGAGATCTCTTGTTGATCGATTCAACAACCAGTTTCCTGATGCGAGAGCCATCTATGTAAACGTTTATGGTATCTTTCAAGATATCCTAAACAACCCATCTTCCTTTGGTAATTGTTTTCTGTTCTGCCTCAACATATGCAACTTTTTTTAGAATGATTTTACTATGGAGATAGTTTTTTCTGATTTAAGTTTATACCCATGTGGTGTTTGATTTTCAGGATTCAGAGTTACAAATGCTGGGTGCTGTGGGGTAGGAAGGAACAATGGTCAAATTACATGTTTGCCCTTTCAACCCCCATGCAGGAACAGGAAGGAATACCTGTTTTGGGATGCATTTCATCCAACAGAGTCTGCAAATGCTATCATTGCAAGGAGAGCTTACAATGCTCAATCTTCGTCAGATGCTTACCCTGTTGACATCAATCGCTTGGCTCAGATCTAATTGGACATAAGCTGGTTACTGTTATTTTAATGTTTGTGTGCCCATAAAATCTCTGATATTTCTGTCTTTTATGTTTGTGGTAACAAGTCCAAGTGTAATTTGCCATAAAAATTTTGGTTAAGGTTTGCTTATTGGTAGTGAGTGCTAATTATGATATGTATTTTCATCCAAAATTAATAAAATTACAAGAAATTATTTGCGTGCAAAACTTTTACAATTAGCCTAAATCATTTCGGTTTGCGAGGGTACGAACATACTATTTATAGCCTAAACTAAATCTCTTCATGTAGTTGGATTTTAAAAAACTTAAAGTCCTTCAACAGTGAAAATCCCTGGTCCATCTCCACGACTCTCCACAAAAAAGGAAAACAATGATAAAACTTCAGCGAGTGATTCATAATGTTTAGTTCCACATTTTAAATATTAACGTTCAACAGAATTTTATTTAATTCATTTTTAAACTTATAAAAATTTTAGGTTTAATAGGTTCGGAGGTCCCTATATTTGCGGGTTCGTTTCACTTGGGTCCTCCAATTTTAAAAGTGATCAATTAGGTCCCTAATTTAACAAAATTGAGTCAATAATACCCTTTCCGTTAAATGCAAGGGAATCTGAATGCAAATTAAAAATTGCAGAAATTGTCACGTATTAAGCTCAAACTCTGCCACCTGCAAAATAAAATGATGCCTTAGCATGCCACCTGTTTAATTTGTATTCAGATTCCCTTGCATTTAACGGAAAGGGTATTATTGACTCAATTTTTTTAAATTATTGACCTAATTGATCACTTCTAAAATTGGAGGACCCAAGTGAAACGAACCCGCAAATATAGGGACCTCCGAACCTATTAAACCAAAATTTTAAATAAAACCAAAAATAACATTTTTTATATTGTTATTAAATACAGATATACACTGTGATTTATTTTTATAATTATTTTCACATTTACGATTTATTTTCTTATATTTATAAACAAATTATATACTTTTTTATAAAAACAAAAATATAAATTTTCTATTATATTTTAATAATTATAAATATATTATAATTAAAATATATTTTAAGAAAAAACTTATTTTTATATAAATGTAGCCATAATCGTAATTACAATGACTTAAAAAACTTTCCTGTTGTTGTGGTTAGAATAATGACAAACACAAACACTTATGCTTTATTCACACGAGGTGATTCCTGGGAGATGATTTGAAGAAGAATAATGGAATGAGTTTGAGAAGATTTGAGGATAACTTTTTTGTTTTTTTTCTAGGCTTTTATGTTAATTATCTAATTACTATTCATATATTGAATTATTGTGTATGTCTATGTGTTAGTGTATTTTTCTTACATCTTTCTGGAAGGATAAGAAGATGTTTAACCGGCTATGTTAGATTCAACTTCTTAGTTTTCCAGAATGTTTATTGTTTTTATTCTCTTCTTGCATCTTTCTTATTGAATTATTATGTATGTCTATGTATTAGTGCATTTTTTCTTGCATCTTTCTGGAAGGATAAGAAGGTGTCTAACCGGTTATGCCAGATTCAACTACTTAGTTCCACAAAACGTTTATATTAAGGTTAATTTTTGCTGATAGGATAAAGGAATCTTAAAAAACCGGAGTTGATACATCCTTGATCATAGAACAACCTTGGTCTGATCCAGTAAGTTGTGACTAGTCATATGTACTAGCGTTTACGGTGAGTTTGATTCGTCAAACATTTGATTCTTTTCTGGTGACCATTTATAGTGATATTTTATTATTGTTAATTTATTTTGTGATATAATCAATTTGTATGATTTCTGTGATGAATGTATTTTACGATGTTGGATATGAAATTATGCATTTGAATATAGCATGAGTCTCGGGGAGAGACTCTATAATGACATGTATTAGTGTATATGTTTATGCTGAGGGTCTTGTTGTTGGTGGTTATCCTAATACTCTAATAATTATCCAGACTCAAATAGAGAAGGATGTGTTATGTGGTGAGAGTGGTAGGAGGTCCTAGTTTATCTTCAATTATGGTCATTGATGTTAAGTGACTAACCTTTTGGGTGATATGATATATTGTATTTGGTCAAGATTATGTTGTGAGAAAAGTAGAGGTCACCTTAAGTGTATGACCACCCGAGACTTCCATCAACATTATATCCGAATAATAGAGTCTAGTATAATAATTTCATATTACAAAAATTTATGATGAATGTATTATGTATAACAATATTGATATGACTCATTTTAGAATTTTGCATGATAACTCACCCTTACTTGTTTGTTTGTCTCAGAAAATCATATTTTTGTGATGATCGTATAACGTATAAGTTATACGTGAACAGATGAGGGAACGACATCTGAACTAATACAAGTGAAACAGGAGGCAACATAGAAATGAAGAATAGTTTAAGAAGAAAGAAAAAAATTATGAGTGTTTTACGTGATGATGTTTGAAAGCATAATGTAATTAAGTATGAACTCTTTATACTGTTTGAGAGATTATTGTAAGATAAATGTACAATAGTTATATTATCTATTAAATTTCAAAATTTGGAGTGTTACAAAAAATAAAAAAAAATGAAATATTTCTTTTGTAAACTAAAATTTATTTATATTTTCGTATTAGTTTATATAAACTTTTACTTTTAATTTAGGTTATAAACTAAATTTTAAATTATAATTTTTATTTCGATCTCAGAATAGAATTTATATTATAATTTACCAAAACATACTTATACTAAAAAGAGATAAAGTGCTTTATTTGGAAATAGAAGAGATAGAGTTTTTCATGACAAAAGAACAAAATAAGTTAATTAATTAGTTTAACAATATACACATCCTAGAAAAACTATTAAAAGACGTTTTTACACTACACTATGAATTATTTATCATAACTTTGAAACGTAATTTACACACTTAAAAAACATTTATTATACCATATATTAATTCTAACCACCAACGCAATCTATATATTTAAAAGCATTTAATATCACATAATCAAGTCAGAGACTTAAAAGTAAGTGATAACAAACTCGTTCTTTTATAATATAATGTTTTAAATGAAACTAATACCTTAATTATTAATTACTCTTATAATAAAAAAAGACTCTTATAATATATTAATATAATAAAATTTGAATTTAAATTTAATTAAATATAAGAAAATTGAATTCACGATAGAATGAAGTTTTTTCTTTTATATATTAATACACATGACGTCAATTAACATCGGTCATAAATACAACGATGTGTAATCAAATATAAAATATTTAAAATAATAGATATTAAAATTTATTTTTGTATTAATGTGATACTAGCTATATAAAAGAACATATTAAAAAAACATTTTTCTATAAAACAAGATTCTATAGAACAAGGTTATAAACTAAATTTTAAACTATAATTTTTATTTAGATAACATAATAGAATTTATATTATAATTTACCAAAACATGCTTATATTAAAAAGAGATAAAGTGCCTTATTAGGAAATAAAAGAGATACAGAGTTTTTCATGACAAAAGAACAAAATAAGCTAATTAATTAGTTTAATAATATACACATCCTAGCAAAACTTTAAAAGACATTTTTACACTACACTCCAAATTATTTATCATAACTTTAAAATGTAATTTACACACTTAGTAAATTTAGCATAATTGTAATTACAATGACTTAAAAAACTCCCATGTTGTGGTTAGAATGACAAAAACAAACACTTAGTGAAGCCTGTTTTTAAATTGAAGTAATATGTGACTTCTTTATTTAAAATTTGGAAAAGAAAAGTTGTATATTTATGAGACGACTTTTTCATTAATATATAAACACGTATCTTTACGTCTTTTTAATTTTAACTTCCTCGATTCGGTTCTGTAGTTTTGAAAATCGATTTTGTATGTTAAGTTGATATACACACAAGAAATTGTATAATAGGTTGAGGATACATGTAACATTTCAGTACCAATTCTTTCAAATCTCTTCATTTTTGCAGGTGACAAAAAATCATGACATCCCACAAATCCATTTGCTGCGTTTCTCGCGTTTCTTCTCATCCGAACACGACTTCATTTTGATTTCATGACTCGCATTTGTCAATCAACATTATATCTGTTCAAGCGAACACTCTTGGTAAAACCATTCTTTTAAAAAAAATTGAAGTAATACTTCTTTAATTAAAACTGGAAAAGAAAAGTTGCATATCTATGAGACGACTTTTTCATTAAAAGTAAAGTTGTACTTCTTGTAAATATTTAAAAACTTATTGATTTTGGTAAACTGAAAGAAAAAAGAAATAGCAGCAAATTGATGAAGAAGCCCATGATTCTAGCATGAATATCAGAGTCGCTGAATTAAGTCTTTTATTTGCTGTGGCATTCCAGTATTGGCGGAGAGCAATGTCTTAATTTACATAATTAATTATGTTCTCAATATAATCTAATATATGTTGTTTGACTTGCAAAGTAATTATATATTTAATTATATTGAAGATAATTGATTTGGTGTCGGAATTTTTTTAATTTTGATTATTTTTAATTGTAATGAATAATAATAATATGTTAATAAAAATTTAGAATAAACTAATATTGTAATAAAATACTTAATTCCACGTTTTTATACTTTAAACATTTACAATCCAAATACACTTTAAGTAAATGGGGATAAAGTTTGAATGGATTTTCTATAAAGCACTTTTAAGGGAAAATAATAAAATAAAATGGAATATTTCTTTTGTAAACTAAAATTTATTTATATTATTTTCGTATTAGTTTATATAAAATTATATTTTTGATTTAGGTTATAAACTAAATTTTAAACTATAATTTTAATTTCGATCTCAGAATAGAATTTATATCATAATTTACCAAAACATACTTATACTAAAAAGAGATAAAGTGCTTTATTAGGAAATAAAAGAGATACAGAGTTTTTGATGACAAAAGAACAAAATAAGTTAATTAATTAGTTTAATAATATACACATCCTAGAAAAACTATTAAAAGACATTTTTACACTACACTATAAATTATTTATCATAACTTTGAAACGTGATTTACACACTTAAAAAACATTTATTACCATAGATTCTAATCACCAACACAATCTATATATTTAAAAGCATTTAATATCACAGAATCAAGTCAGAGACTTAAAAGTAAGTGATAACAAACTCGTTCTATTATAATATAATGTCTTAAATGAAACTAATACCTTAATTATTAATTACTCTTATAATAAAAAAAAGACTCTTATAATATATTAATATAATAAAATTTGAATTTAAATTTAACTATATCTGAGAAAATAGAATTCTTGATAGAATGAAGTTTCTTGTTTTATATATTACACATTAATTTTATATCTAACTAATGTATAATTTCAAGTAAAAATTAAAATAGAAAATGGATATGACTATTGAAATGGTAAAATACTTGCCAAACACGGGATCGTAACAATAATGTAATGGGTTGAAAAAAGGTAAAGACGTACGAAATCCTGGTTTAATCAGTTGATGATAAATAAAAAGTTAGCCTATATATACCCTTGCGCGTTGCTTGTTGTGGCTGTGACACTCTTTTATAACTATCATTTTCTGATAAAAGTAAGTAACCCAACTTGTTTTGGAGATGAAGTCATGGCTGCTTCTATCTCTTCTTCTATTGGCTGCAAATATGCTGCAACAATGTTGTGTGAATGGACAAGCGCAAGTGCCTGGTGTCTTTGTGTTTGGGGGCACTCTATCTGACCATGGAAACAACAACAACCTTCGAACAAGCGTAAAATCCAATTATATGCCCTATGGCATCGACTTCTCCCGAGGCTCAACTGGTAGATTTTCCAATGGAAAAACGCAAGTTGATATCATTGGTACGTAACATCAATGCTCTGTGCTTTCCCATACTTTTATTTTTTACCTCACTAATTAAACTTCAACCGTTGCAGCTGAATTTCTGAGATTAAACACATCCATCCCACCCTATGCAAACACCACTGGCTCAGACATACTCAAGGGTGTCACCTATGCATCTGGATCAGCTGGGATTCGCGATGAGACCGGCAGACATCTAGTATACACACACATACATACATGAATACTGTTTTTCTTCTTATAATTTTAGAGCCTTTTTATTATATCTCAAAGCCAGCTAATGCCACTATACTACGTACGCAGGGTAACAATATCAATTTCAGAAGGCAGATCGCAAATCACAGATACATAATTCTCAGAATTCTTTCACAAATTGGATATAATCGAACTCGACAACACCTTAGGCAGTGCTTGTATTACGTGCATATAGGTAACAATGATTACATATATAATTACTATCTTCCCCAATTTTACCGAACAAGCCGCTTCTTCAACACTGAACAATTTGCACAAGATCTTATTAACAGATACTCTCGCTATATTCAGGTACCTACAATTTCCTTTTTTCTTTTCATTTTTCCCTCACAAATCCACTTCATCACGCTTTTAGTAGCATACATAATTATAAACTCAAATCACATATTGGATTACTCATAAATTTATTCTACTTGGGATGCTATGGATTGATGTCTTACGGTTTCAAAGACATTACATGACTCTCATCCCAGGTTTCACTAAAACAATTGTTCAAAAATATATTTGAAGTCAACTAAATTCATACTAAGTTGAATTATATATTGATTTAATTTTGAAAAGTTGATTTTGAAAATTTCTGAAATTGGAAAAAACACTTCAAAATAAGATATATATTGATTTATAATATTTTAAATATTTTTTAGAAAGTTATTCTCTTTCAAAAATTCTTATGAAATTTTGACATTTCAATTGATAATATTTTAAGGAAAATGACACTTGAACAACCATTTTTGACAACATTTAGACACGCGCACACGTGTCAAAATCTGAGTGGTCCAGTTGGAAAAATTAAATGAAAATGTACCACTCAGATTTTGACACGTGTGCGCGTGTCTAAATGTTGTCAAAAATGGTTGTTCAAGTATCATTTTCCATATTTTAAACATTTTCTTAGAAGATAATTCTCTTTCAAACATTCTTTTGAAATTTTGACATTTCAATTAGTTGACCTTGTGATGTTGACCAATTATTTACTTTTAAAGAAAGTTATATTATTAAAAGGAAAGAATAAAAACATCAAATACGAGGATTAAACCAAATTCATAATACAATAATAAAAATCTCAATTTTAAAACTTTAGATCGGTTTCTAAAAAAATCACACCTAGTGCAAATGAGCAAGTATTCAAAACAAACAAAATATTCTAAAATCAATCTCTAAATTGCTAGACACACAGACTTCTAAATTAAAATAAGACAAATAGTTAAGCAACAATTCTACGTCCAACTGAAAGTCCAAAGAACCTTAACAAGTTCTTTGACAGCTCATCATATAATCAGTTTCCAATTAAATAGATTCTCAGAACTGACTTAATTGTAACCATGGCACAATAATCTGTCTTAAAGATGAAAACATTATCAATTAAAGATGAATAATTTAGTCTAAATTTCTCAAATCATAAAACAAGTTAATTAAATTCAATTGAATTATCATTTAATTCAGTTTAAATAACCCCAGTTCCTTCTAAAATTTAGTTTAATTTTATAATAAACTAATTCAATTGATGTATTTATACACTCCTCTACCTTAGTTATCCAAGTTTAACAATTATGAAAATATACATGATTTTGGAGGACAGGATCTGCGTAGTCTTGGGGCAAGAAAATTCGTGTTCATCTCGCCGGGTCGTATTGGGTGCACTCCGTATGCCTTATCCATGAATAGGACAAATGGATCTTGTGTTGAAGAGATGAATGCTGCAACCTCCATATTCACTGGCAAGCTTAGATCTCTAGTGGACCGACTAAACAACAATTTTGGTGATGATTCTAGATTCATGTTTGTAAACAACTCAGCCAGAAACCTTGGAGTCGTTGCTACTGGTGCATTTCTATTTTCTTAAACTCTATGCTTCGTTTTTATATTGAAACAATCTGAATGAAAGGTCCTTGTACTGTTTCAGGAGGTTTCACTGTTACGAATGCTTCTTGCTGCCCAACGGGGACGGATTTGCTGTGTGATCCTAATCAAACACCATGCCAGAATAGAAATCAGTATGTGTTTTGGGATAAATTTGTTTTCACAGAAGCTTTCAACAGATTCCTCGCACTCCTTGCGTATAATGGTTCTAATCGAGACTTCGTTTACCCAGTCAACATCAGCACCCTTGTTCAGTCTTGATGCTTTACTTCAAAATCCCATATCCATTTACAAATGAACACTTTTATACTTTTCTAATGTTTAATAAAGTTTAGTCAATAAGTTCATGATGGGCGAACCGTATGTGATATGGGACTTTGTTATATTTCTATTAAAGACATGAATATATTTTCCTTTTCAACTATTTTTTGCACTATATATTTCTGTGCTTAATTGAAAATTGTATTTTTTTTATCTGAAGGAATAATTAATCTTAACGAATACAGACTAATTAAAAAAGTATATAAAAAACAAATCATAATGACGGACCAAAAACATCCCATCAAAGACAATCTCCACAAATTATGTACAATGCTTTTAGGATTGTCAAACGAACATGTAACCATCGCATCTCTTTAGATGTAAAATCACGTCCCAAAATTACCTTTCTTTAAAAATGCTACATTTTGTTATTTACTTACACACAAATATGTAAGTAGAGATCAGAAGACACGTGCCATTTTAATTAAAGTACGACGTGAATTTAATCACAACTAAATTATTGCCTCTTATACTAAGTTTTTTGACATACGACATTGATTTGATAATATACATGAACTTATATGAAAAATGAAATCGAAGGTAAGTCGTTTATAATAAGAAACGATGTCAATTTGATAACGACTCAAATCGCATCTTTTATACCAAGTAAACTTGCGTAGATATGTAAATTAAATACGATCTTTTTTTTGAGAAAATAAGACATTAATTTAACTACAATTAGAATCACACCTTTTATACTAAGTGAACGTATTGGATATAGAAATAGAATCTAAACCTATTTTTATTAAGGTAGGTTTGGTCTCACAAGAAAATGCACTTCTTATCTTAAAGATCAAGTTAAATGACGATGGAAAAAAATTATGTTGAACAGTGAACTTAATTTTTCGTGTGCTTCGTTAAAAATAAATTAAGGAAAAACCCTATAGGAAAACAAAAGTAAATAATTTATTATTTTTTGAAGGATAGACCTTTGGGTGTAATATTAATATGGAACAAGCTATTACTATTTTAGTATCCAACGAATTTTTACACATACTTCACATCTATTATTGTTGTATCTTTTAATATATTTTTACAAATATATAAAAGTTAATCTTTTTAATGACCAAATTATTTTTAAAAGTGAGTTGTCAACTGATACTACTTATGTAAAGAAACATTTTTCTATAGAACAAGGGTCCTATTATTTTCATATCCAACAAATTTTTAGTATGAGTGTAATAATAATATGGAAAAAGTGTACAATCGGAAGATGAACCTGCTATCTAATGATGTATTATGTAACTTTTAAGATATTCTTAACTTAAAATTGATAGATTGATTCAGAGTCTATGAATTATATAGAAGTAGTCTCTTAAAACAGGAATGCTGGTATATCGATACCAAAATGAATTTTACATGGACAATCATTAGTAGTAGGAGAGGCGAAAAGCTAAAGGATGGAAAGGAGAAATCTTCTATCATCAACAACAACCCACCAATGACATGCATGAAATCCATCTTTTGAGCAATTTCAATGCAGTCCTCAGACTTTTTGGAGATGAAATAATGTTGTGGGTATTACAAAAGAGACCCACTTTTGATTAGATTAGACACTCTCAAAGATTTTTATACAATAACTCTCATTAATATTTTTTGTTTGTAGCAGAAGAGTTGAGTCTCGGGCATATGAATTTCATATGTGAATAATCCACAAAAAGATCTCTTCCCTTCTGTTTCTACCAGCAACAAAACTTGCCCAACAGGTCATCTTAGCAATAATGTTAGTAATTACTTTCCGTTGACAAACTATTCGGCCTCCAATGTTGATTCATTCTGACTTCATTTGAAAGCAAAAAATTCAATAAATACACATGCATCTTTCATCTGACACTTGCTACAACGAGATCGATGGAAGCTAAGATTAAACTCTGGCTAGTTTTATCTCTTCTATTGGCTGCAAATTGCATGCAACATTATTGTGTCCATGCAGAACCACTTGTTCCTTGCCTTTTTGCCTTTGGGGACTCTCTAACTGACTGTGGAAATAACAACAACCGTGCAACATTAGGAAGAGCCAATTTCATACCATATGGCATCGACTTCCCACAAGGTCCAACAGGAAGATTTACTAATGGAAGAACCTCATTTGACTTCATTAGTACGTAACATTCACAATTTCTTTTTAAAATATAATATTTTTAACCCCAGGTTTTGTGTTTAGCACTCCAATTAACGTTTAGCCATTTGTTGCAGGCGAGCTTCTGGGATTTCAGAAATTCATCCCACCCCATGCAGACACTAGTGGCTCAGACATTCTTAAGGGTGTGAACTATGCATCTGGAGGAGCAGGAATAAGACCCGAGAGTGGCATGGTTGGAGTATATAATTCAAATTAATATACCTTTATTTATCCTTCTTTCTTTTTCCATTTAATTGGTCTTTTTTGGTATAATTTTAAAAGATTTTCATTTGTATGCTGACGCAGGGTGACAATATTGATTTGGAAAATCAGGTGAGCAATCACAGAGCCATATTTTCAGAGATCAGTGAGAAACTTGGAGGTTCTGAGAATGCAACAGAGTACCTTAACAAGTGCTTGTATTATGTGAATATAGGCACCAACGATTACCTATTCAATTACTTCTTTTTCCCTATTTACCTAACCAGGCTCTTCTATACCCCTCAACAATACGCCGACACTCTTCTTGTCCGACTATTTAAATATATACAGGTATTTTACAATTTTTTCTACATTTTTCTCACTGTCTCCTAAATTCATCATGTGGGGTATTTTTTCCAAGCATACTGGATTATATAAATTGAAATTAAACTACTGGATCAAGTATTACAAAAGATTGTATAAAAAACAAACAACGAATGCAAAAAGTGAAAGAATTTGATAACAAAAATCATAGGATGGATCTAATTATACCACCCTAATAATATTTACACCTATTGAAAAATTATAGAAAAAAAGATGATTTTGGGGGACAGGAACTGCATGACGATTTTGGGGCAAGAAAATTCGTGGTAGTTGGGGTGGCTGATATAGGTTGCATTCCAGCTACCACGCATCAGACAAATGGATCTTGTGTTGAAGAGATGAGTGATGCTGTCTCCATCTATAATGACAAGCTTAAATCTAGAGTGGACCAATTCAATAACCATTCCTCTACCCATTCCAAATCCATCTTCGTCCCTAGCTTGGACAGATCCATTATCCCAGGTGCCCTTTTCAAATTTCTTAAATTTCACATTCTAGATTAAAACAACATCCAATCAATGTCTTACAATTTGATTTGATTTGTGTTTCAGATTTCCCTGTTGTGAATGCTCCATGCTGCCCAACGCCTTGTTTACCTAATAGAACACTATGTCAGAATAGAAGTAACTACATGTTTTGGGATGAAACGCATCCCTCGGAAGCTGCCAACCGAATCACTGCACAGAGATCATCCAATGACATCATGCGACTTGTTCAGTCCTCAATTCAAACTACGACACCTTAAATACATGAGATATATTCTTACACCTACCGCCAAAATAGAAATAAATAAAAAAATCCATTCTACATAATAAATATATTACTCCTTGGCATTTAATATTAATATATATATATATATATATATATATATATATATATATATATATAATAAGAAACATTATGGGTGCCCTCAACCCTTGTACAAAAAAAATATAAAGGCTTATGAAATAACCTTTGTAACTAAAGTTTATAAGATGATGCATATGAAATTATAATAGAGAGACTATTTATACTATAAAAGACAAAAAGAATATGATTGGTTAATACAATGCCCCACGAGATTCCTAAGTAACACCCGTCAAGAAAAAATATATTTCGAACGATTGAATATATATAAACCTTACTTTAATAAAACAATGTTTTGGCCAAAAGCTGTAAAATCATTTTAACCCTACAAAAGTTTATGATTAGAGGAGAAAAGGAAGGCTTACCGCTAGAGAGGTCAAAACAGGCTACCTGACCCGATCTAGTCTGACCCACCACGGGTTGGTCACTTAATGAGTCAATCCAACCCGGTTCATTTATTAGCGAGTTAGAAAAATTCGAACCCGGCCTGACTCAACGCGGGTTGGTGGGTAAACAGGTTGACTCACTGATTCCCTTAATTACAATTTTTTATAAATAAAAAAAAAATTATAAACTTTTTATAATTTAAATCTAACTAAATTTCACTCCCAATGGGTGTTTAATTAATTTTAAAAATAATGAACTTAAATAATTTTTTCAAGCAAAAACAAAATAATAAATATTTTTTTTATAAAATTAAAATTAAATTTTAATAAAATAAAATTAGGTAGGTGGATTGGTGGGTCAACCCGGCCCACCAGGGTTCAACCCGCATGAACCGAGTTTAAATGAGTCGGTTAAAATCTGACCCGCATAAAAAAAATTCAACTTTTTCAAACCTAACCTGGCTCAAACCCATAATGGACAAAGTTGACCCGCAAATTGTGACTCATTTTGACAGTTTTACTTACAGTCTTGTTAAATAAATTTCCTTTCAGTCTAGTGAGAACTTAAAATAGAGAATAAATTTTCTTCTAAAATATGAGAATATTTACAATCCTAATAATATTAACTTTGTATTTTTTATATTTTACGTTGCTTCATTTTTTTTCTTATAACTTCTTTAGTTTAGTTTGAGAGTTAAAGCCTTTTAGATTTTACACGTGACATTTTACTATAATTTTGACATATAACACTTTATAAACACGGTTAATATCAACTTAATGAAAAAAAAAATCAAATTAACTCTATTAAAAAAATATTAAAATTCAGTTAAGTAAAAGAAAAAACATAAAAACAAAAAAGTAATCATAGACCTAATAGTTTATAAATTTTTATTTTTATAGTGGTACATTATATATTATAGGTATATTCATACCTTCAAAATATTATGCAAAATATATTTATAATTGTAGTTTTTCTTCATCATCTTTACATATTCTAGTTATATAATGTTTAATTTAAATAATATTTTTTATACTTCTAAAATTTATTCTTGTTATATAATGTTTAGTCTAAATAATATTTTTTATACTTCTAAAATTTGTTTATCTCTGAATATTTTTAACACTCAACATTTTTTTAAATTAGTAGTATTGAG